TTTTGATAGAAATTTGTAGGACTAGTTCAAAGCTTGATGAATAAATTCATTTCCTCTCTCAAAACCTTCAATCTTCTTATAGAGTTGTCGTGAACATCTCTCATTTGATTTTTTGAGAACAAATCAGATGTGATGAAAAGTCTCATCTTACTATACAGACCTAAGGATAAAGCTCCTTAAGACATGCCCCACTTTCATTTAACTTATCTCTATCAAGTGATAGTCATTAGAGATCTATAAAATTATCACTTTTCTACTTCATTGGGTGATAGTCATCAAAGATTCATCGACCCACCTTATTGATTTTTAGACTTTATAAGAAGATCTAGCAATTGTCTATGTCCTTCATGTCTAAGGAGAGCCTTTGAAGCCATAGACATTACACGATAGTCCTCTTAAATATTCAAGATTTCAACGCATCACCATGACACCAGAACTCTATTTTACCATTTTTAATTAGTTTAACTTCTATCATTATTTTCTAGACTTTTAAAGAAGATCTAAATAATGTCCAGTCATCCATGTCAAAAGAAAGTTTTTGAGGCCGTGAACATCGCATGATAATCATCTCGAATGTCTATAATTCTGACACATCATCGCCACGATGTCAAAATTTATATATTACATATTTTAAATTATTTTAATCGTTATATTAATAATATTTAACTTTATTTCAAGTTTCAAAACTCTTCTTTAGTCAACTACGATTCTTTTGACATTTACAAATCTTAATTTTATCAATTAAGTCATCTGTAATTGTTTATATAATAATCATCGAGCAGAACACTATTTCTTCACAAATTGTCAATCTTCAGATGCTAACATCATCCTAACGTAGCTCTAGAATATCTACCTATTGATTACAGGTTTAACTATAGTGATTAGACATACTTATCACAAGTTTAACTACTAAAAGTGTAAAATATTTGACTGCATTTGGTGATTCTAGAAAGAATGTACATTAATGAGTTCTTGAAATTCAATTAAGTTGATTAAATGTGGTTGACTTTTTTATCCTCCTCTTATTGAAGCTCTTAGAATGATGAAGGGTTCAGATTGATTTCTAGTTAAGATGAGGCACTTTTTATCAAACTTCAATCCCAACTTCTTGTCCATGGAGATATGACTTGAACTTTGAATTTTATTCAGAATTCTCTCATTCTATGATGCAAAATGTTAGCTAGAAGACACAAGAGAATGAGGAATAAATATTATTCAAATGGATGAGAAAGTCTCAATTTACAAATGCAACTTTGATCTAGCCTTTATTTTTTTTCTGCCACGTTAATGATCTCTTCCAAATATAGAAAATACAATAGAAATATCCAATATGATGTCTTTTTTAAGCCTTTAGATGTATCATTTATATTTGAACCACTAGCAAAATGTTTAAGCCGTATATATATATATATATACCTCATCATAACCAGTTTGATAACTCTATAACTAGATTTGATAAACATTAAGGTAATATATAAATATTGATTAAATAACTAATGATTTCAAGTAAAAATAACATTCAAATCATCAAAAACAAAATATGGGTGTGAAATATCACTTTTGAGGTTACATATTACTACTTTGGACCAATATTTTCACTTTCTTAGGATTCTTAATCATTATTTTCAATTGGTATTGAATTTAATAAGTATTTTATTAGCAAATTCAACCTATAACCTCATTCTCAAATTTTCAGCATTTGATATTATGTTCATATCTTCATCCCAACACTTTAAATCACATATATGAATATTTTTAGTCTTCAAGAAAATTCCTTCTAACAGGGACATAATCTTTAATTCTGATCAAATGAATCCACTAAACAAAAAACTAGTTTCGAACATTTTTTTAAGCCTTATCATCAATCTCAAATAATCTGAAGGATCTGCCACCCTCATTAGAGATCTCCTGTCACGTGTCAAGCTTTATGGCATGTCATGTGTGAGAGATCTTATTTTCCTCCCTAGTCAGATTTTGTCTGATTTTATTGGATTGACCTATGAGTAAACGCACTTTTTGTCTTCAGACCAAAAAAGGACCAACATACTTTTGGAAGTCACATGTTTTTTCTTTCCTCTTGTAGGTCAACACATTTTTTCTGGGTTGAAATGCCAAGTCTACCTCCTTTCTCTTTCCTCTTAGTTTTGTTTAAAACATTATCTTTTGTTCTGGTTTGATTTGGCTTAATGTGTATATATGATTCTTGACATTTATTTTATTGATTTGAGGCCTAAAAAATATATTTATGCAAAAAACAAGACTAGACATAAATCTTTAGATCTTCATCTATAAATTATTTTTTAAAAACATATTTTAAAGTAACTTTTTAATTTAGTTTTATAAGATTAGTGAATGACATAAAGCCATTAAACCCAACATAACTATATCCTCCTCTTTCTCTTTAAATGTTGACTTGTATTGACATCGAAATTAATGCATAGAGAAAATTTGATAAATCATTTCAAAGTATATGCTATCCTCTTAGGCATTTTCAAGTATCATAATAATATTCAATTTTGCTTGTGATGTATGATGAATACTTCACCCCTAGTCTTGACTTAATTAATTCATGACTTTCCTCATGGCAATCATTAAGATAATTAAAATAATTAATTCTAAAATATGATCTTTGAAGCACCAATATGTGACAAATAGAAAATATATCAAAAAAATGAATAAAAATGATTCAAAAAACATTACTTTTCTAACCATAAAATGTGTAATTTATAATTTTATTATTATGTCAAATTTCTTAAGCAATTATGAATAAAATCATTTTTCTAGAAAAAACATTAAAATGTTTACTTAGAATGTAAAAAAGAAAGAAAATTAAATAATCACCATTATACACAATTTCTTGGTCAGAAATAGGATTAGATGGATAGTAGGGGCTCAAGTTAGTTAATTAGAGATATTTTAACCAAGAAAAAATTATGTTTATATCATAAATAGCCATGGCCTCCTTTCCTCTTTTTCATCTTTTTTTTTCCTTACTTTGCAGCCCTTGGTCAATGTCCCTTGTGTACGAAAGGTTCACATATAAATAGCTCTATACTAGCCCAACTCTCTCCCTAACAATGGACAAGATGGGAAACAACCCATTTTTGATCCATTGAAATTTTTTGGATAATAATAAAAAAAGTCCAACATCATGTTACATAAAAAAAATTATGTAGTTGTTGCATGTTTCTTCTTGAAACATAATGCTGAACACTATGGAGCTTTGCACTTAAGTCTCCTATTAGTTATAACATCATTTTTTTAATTCTGAATATTTATAATAGAAAAAAATAAAAGGGTAGTTAAATTTATGAATTTATGCTGTCAGATGGAATGCTCTCACAACTTTATCATATACAGACTTTCCATTTCACCTTTATGACATGTTTCTTTTAGTATCTATAGATAGATATAATCCATATTCATTTGATGAAATAAAAAAAGTGGGCCATCAATTATGAACTGAAGTAGAGTAGGTAAAATTTGATGTTTCTTGACATCCAATTCCCTTCCACATCTTTGACAGGGCTCATAAGAGTATCCAAACAATATTTTTTTTCAATATATTATGACAAATGAAATAACTCTTTTCAATAACTGCATTGGGGTAACCTATTTTAATTGATGCAATCAAAAAATATAAGCTCATTATACAAGTAATTTTAGGCCTAACTAGCTCATAAACACTAACCTATTATAAAACTAGGTTAAGCATTAATATCATCCGAAGTAGGGTATAAAATTCAAGAAAAATAAGACTAGCCCAGCATAACATAATGTTGTATCCCCAACCAAAAGTTGATATAGTATGAAGCATAATGAAAATAATATTGTATCCTTCGTATCACTAAAAGAAATATGTGAAATTTGTACCTTGATTTGGGGATGGTACATATCAAAAGATTTCTGAACTTGTTAGAGGAACTAGAGATGCAACACTAATTGCAAAAAATATCATGAGAAGTCGAATTTTTAAAAAACTAGTACAATCTAAGGTGATGAATCGTGGTTGATGCACGGAATGATAGTGTGACACAAATCTATATTAGGAAGACCAATTAATGATACATGCTTGACACAACTCTTTGAAGGTTATACATTGATCTCACAAATCTTTGTGAGATCAACAGTCAATTCGTTTGTCATCCTTTTTCTCATGGAGATGAATTACTTGGATTGGTACAAAGATTATATGGAGTATGATGATAAGTCTTACTTCCATTTCTTTCTGGGCGAGACTAATGTCAAGTATAAACATATCATCATTTCTTTCTGGGTGAGGAATAAAAGGTAAAAGGTAAGAAGAATTATCAAGACTACACGCAGCTGACTTAATCATGTGCATTCTCAAATGCATTAGATCACTGAATTGCCATAAAGGAAGGTGTCAACCCAACCCGTCTCCAAACTGTCTTCAGAATTCTGAGATTGGTGTTCGAAACCGGATAGGCAGTAGCTAGTATGTTTCAGAGGCTACGGCAGGCTTTACCTGATTGGCCGGTTATGGGTCTTTTAGAAATTGTGTATACTTGTTGTGGTTCGATTTTTTCTGAGTATCTCAGATCTGGGCACTCTTTCTAATGCCCGCGCGCGTTAGTTCATAGGATCGCATCACTTACAACCGTCATGGGTACTGTCAATATCGTAGAATTTACTTTGATATGTAACTCTCTCTCTCTCTCTCTATCTATCTATCCATCTATCGATATACAAATATATATATATATATATATCTGCACACATAAAAGACAATACGAGATTACACCTTGCAGTACTGTTTTAAATTAAATGGGAAATTATGAATGACCGAAGATATTAAAGAATTACACGGTTGAACAATTGCATGGACCTTACGACCCAAGAGTAACAAAATAAATGTGACAAATACAAATGAATTGGAAATATTTTAAATGAACGTAGCGCTGCGTGGTTGCTGTTCACGTCGTAGTCAAAGATTCAGACTAAATCATGTCTGACCGCCGCTCCAGACGACAGACGCCTTAGTGACCATCTCCAGGGCTCGGACCAGATTCCTTGACGTATCCTAGGGAGCTGAGATCGAGGAATCCGCGGCTCGATCCTTGGTGGCCGTCTATTTCTCTCTTGGCTTGCTCCCGGATGCACGCCCCTGGCTTCATGCACCCGGCGCCTCCGCGCTGCTTGATCGGCCGGGCATAGGTAGATAGAACTGCGGAGCTGAATAGCAGGAGGAGGAGACACAGAGTCATGTGAATTTTCACCATGGGAGCTGGTGCAGGAGGGAACCTGAGCACGGGGGCCTGAACTACGAGATGAAATATTCTTGCGGGTACTGCAGAAGACTCGGAGGGAGGAAGTTCATATATAGCTGTTATGGGTGGCGCGCCCAAGATTGACCGGGGAAGGAAGACCCTACCTCGTACGTTTGAACACGTGCCGTCCGCCTCTCTTTCTTTTCCTCCAAACATTGAATAAGAGAGGAGAGAGAGAGAGTCGTTGGGTTCAACTTAGCAGAAGCATCCCGGATGGCTCCCGTCGGCCGCCATTCGAATGGTCTTTGGAAGGGAAAGGGAATTCCAGTATGACATGGAGTATTTTAATCGTGAAATGCGGAACAAAGAGCAGGACACCGAGGAAAACTGGAATTGCCGTCCCACGGCTCTCTCTCTCTGTCTGTGGCTCTCCCCCTCCTCCTGTCTGAAGAGGAAACGGAAGGAGGGAGAGGTTGCGCCGGTGAGTCGCCAGCTCCGAGACTCCTTCTCCAAGAGTCGATCGGTAGTGTTAGCCGTGAAAGTAGGCGGTCGGCCATGGTCGAAACAGCCGCCGCCGAGTCTAGCAGCCGGAGATCCTTCCTGGAAGTTCGAAGGGTCAAAACAAGTCAAATGCTCAGTTTGTCCTTAAGACGGCGTAGGACGTTTCCTAGTCTGACCCCACCATGCGTTGTGAACATGCCCAGTACGGCAGTGCCCTCACACATTCTTCGTTGGCACTAGAACTAGATAAATTCAGAAAAAAAATCCACCATTCTAATTCTATCCTCTAGCACGTGGCCACCCGCAGATCTTGCGAATAGGCATCTCCGGCAGCACCCCTCTGATGACGTATTTAGGTCGGGAGAATTCTGGTGTTGACTCCATTTATCGACTGAAAGTAATAACTTGATATTGAACATTGATTTATTTGTGCTATTGAATTTGTCAACATAAAATGAATCACTAGAAAGTATTTGCCAATCAGCTCCAATCTTTTAACGTGATAAGAAAGTCTCTAACTATAACATTTTGAATCAATCACATGTGGTGAGATTTTCCCAAATAGGTTTATTTTATTTGAAAAAAAAAAATCGTATAAAGCTTAAAAAATAGCCAAATAATATTCTTGACAGCATGACACTAGGTGCTATAACCAATGTGTCAATTCGAATTCAGGATGAACTTATGGATATTCAAGTAGACCTTGCATGAATTAATGAATCTACTGAACTAAGATACGACCCTTCCAACATATGACAGTATAGAGCAAGGACATATCTGCTTGTGTCATATTTGTAACACCCCAAAGTAATTTTCTTGCCACATACCTTGTGTTACTGAGTCATAACCCAAACACATGTCTGTGTCAAAAGAGTTAATAAAAATGAACTCCTAGAGTTCTATGGTAGATAAATTTCTTCAAAATCATAAAACAAAAGCTGGCATTCAAAACTCCACAAATCTCATTGGTGAAGGAGTCAAAAATTATATTCTATAAACTAAATAGTAATAGCACGGAGACATTTACTCTCTCTTCTCTCTCTCTCTCTCTCTCTCTCCCTCTCTCTCTCTTCTCTCTCTCTCTCTCTCTCTCTCTCTCTCTCTCTCTCTCTCTCTCTCTCTCTCTCTTCTCTCTCTCTCTCCCTCTCTCTCTCTTCTCTCTCTCTCTCTCTCTCTCTCTCTCTCTCTCCCTCTCTCTCTCCCTCTCTCTCTCTCTCTTCTCTCTCTCTCTCTCTCTCTCTTCTCTCTCTCTCTCTGTCTCCTTCTCTCTCTTCTCTCTCTCTCTGTCTCCTTCTCTCTCTCTTCTCTCTCTCTCTCTCTTCTCTCTCTCTCTCTCTTCTCTCTCTCTCTCTCTCTCTTCTCTCTCTCTCTCCCTCTCTCTCTCTCTCTCTCCCTCTCTTTTCTCTCTCTCTCTCTCTTCTCTCTCTCTTCTCTCTCTCTCTCTCTCCCTCTCTCTCTCCCTCTCTCTCTCTCTCTTCTCTCTCTCTTCTCTCTCTCTCTCTTCTCTCTCTCTCTCTCTCCCTCTCTCTCTCCCTCTCTCTCTCTCTCTCTCTCTCTCTCTATATATATATATATATCTATCTATCCATATGTCTACTTGTCTGTCTATCTACCATCTATGCTTCTATCTAAATATCTGTCTATATCTATCTATCTATATGTTTGCCTATCTCCATCCATCTCTCTTGAGCCACACACACACTCACTCACTCACTACCTCACTCAAAATGTATAAACTTGGAACCTTAAGGGCCAATTTGACAATGGATTACAATCATTCAGCTAAAGCTTGCCTTAGTTCTAGATTTTGATTTATCCAACTTTCAATTTGATAACACAATGTAACTCTATTGTAAATTAACTACGTTAATCTTTCTTGAGTTTGATATAAGTTGGGGTAAATGTAGGTTATTGGTTTTAACGATTTTAATGTTATGAAATTGGTGTTAGAAATCAAAGCAGGAAAAAATGGACTTGAAATATGTTGGAATGTACTTATCTCCAAATCGAGATCTAAATATTTTTTAAGAAATTGGTTGTTTTTAAATATATTTTTCAGGCCCTCAAATAAAGAAAAATAATTCCAAAATTATTTGAGCATCAAGCCAAGTGAATAAAAAAAAAAATTAAGTTGATAAAATAAAGCATGTCAACTCATGTATCAAACTTTTTTACATATGTTAACGCACTTAGATAGGGTGTCAACACATTCTTATTAGAAGAGAGAACATGGTAAATTGATAACTAGGGCATCGTATCTAAATATGTGGCAACTCTAACTCGAAAAGTGGTGCATGAGAAGAAAGAAAATGAGGTGACACATGATAATCAACTAACATAAAATTAGCATTAGAAAAGTCCAAATCAAGATAACATGTGGCAATGTCAAATATTTAAATGACACATGACAAAGACAAGTCGACATGAAATATAGAAAACTAACTATACCAGTGACATATGGCAAAAAGAGAAAATCAAATGACACTTGACATTCATCTAAGACAAGCTTTAACTGAGAGATAAGTTTAAATGACACATGTCAACGGCAAAGCCCTCAAGTGAAATACAACAAAATCGCTGAATCCATGACATACTCCTAAGAGATAAATATTTGACTTGGGCTAACATGTGGAAAGCATATCTGATGAGAATACAGAATCCTAACACATCCAAAGATCAAAATTGACATGTTAAGTGTTGCCCTCATCAAGAGCAGGTCAAGTCATTAATCTAGACTAGTTTGGCTGTGCCACCTTGATAGTTTGTCGACTCATGCATCAAATCAAAAAATATTATCAATCAAATCTCAATCATATGAACTCTAACAGTCAAGATCTTGGGCTCTATAAATAGCTCTTTAGATGAGATTTCTAGTACTACCTCAAATTTAGAAATTTTCATATATTTCGTAATCCAAGTCCTCATGAGAAAAATTTGGTAAAAAGCCCTACACACTCAAGCTTCTTCCCTCATTCAACTTGGCCCTACACACTCAAGCTTCTTTCCTTATTCAACTTGTCTTCATCAAAAAAGAAAAGCTCATTTCCACAGCTTGAGGTCTTTGTGAGTGTTACCATTTCTTCTCATTCATGAAAGTCATTGGGAAGTTCTTGTAGTATAGGTAGATGAGTAAGCTAATGTCTTGGTGTCTAGCATGGGTTGAGAGTCTCATAAACTATATCATGTAAAGAGGAATTAATGTATGCATACAACTTAATTGTGATTCTTTGAGGATAGTGTAACCAAGTGTAGAGACCTTCTGAAACTGGACATATAGGCCAAGAAAAGACCAAACAATTGTGAATTTTTGTATTCAAGACATGTTTAAACTTAGTATATCAATCCACGAAAATAATGTGTTGACCTAGTATGTTGACACATAGGAATTTGTCTTGCCCAAAACCAAGATTTTGTTGACACAATTTTACGAAATGTCATAGAAATAGATCAAAAACATATAAAATGATAAAATACCTTAATTTAACCCCCTCTTAGTATACTTGTTAGCCTACTACAAGGTTTTATTATCCTACAATTTCATTTGAACAAGTTGACTAAGCCTTACTGACCTAATTATTTCTTTTGCTTTACTAATATTCAATATACTTTCATTGTAGAAGTCCTCCATAGATATAAATTTCATAGGAAAATGAGTACTTTAGCTATGGTTATAGCCATTTGAGCTAATCAAATTCAACTATTTTTATTATCTAAGACACACTCAAATATGTGCTTATAATTCTAGCTACTTATCAAGCCATTGCTTCATGAACATTTCAACCCATCAAGATGTGTCAAAGAGGGACTAAATGAAGAAGATCCCATGACTATTACATATCCACCTTCATGTTAATATGAAGAGGAAGGGTACATTAAATCTTTAAAATGTTTTCCGAACTTTAGATGTTTTCATCTAGTTTCTATTAGAATTGTGCCTAGTGGGATGACACACACTTGTTTAGGTTGATAGAGGTTTGCTTGGGTCAACACAAACTAGGTTGGGTTAACACATTGCATCAAGACACTAAGCAACAAGATTAGTTGAACATTCATATTTATAGTCATAATTTTTGAAACATTTTGAAGTGAATTCCTTTTATCAAGCATCTGCCCCCTCACCAAAAATTTGTTCCCAAAAATGTCTAAGATGTCTGAATCCTATCAAGTTGCTTCACATACCAACCTTCTATGTCAATCAAAATTCTCCATCATAGGCTACTAAAAATCTCAAGCTCTGGCCACTACCACCATTGCTCCAATGCCAAATATTTTCACTCAAGAGGACTTCCTTGGTTTTCTATTTCTTGTTTCTAGTGCTCCCTAGAGTGCCTACACGTAGGAGATATAATAATCAACTTACAAAAAGATCATGAGTTTGACAGGATGAACTTTCTTTTGTTTTAGGGGTGATTGAACACTTGAGGATACTTTGACTAGGTTACCCTTGTAATAAAATTTGGATACTATATTTCAGAACAAGTAGGATGATTTTATCTACCATTGAAGCACAT